GGAACCGCTCAGCGCTGACCCCGGGCGGCACGCGGGTGGGCTGACGTCCCTCAAGTTCGAAGAGAAGAAGTCACCTGCGGTGGAATAGGGACCGAAGCCTGTGGACCCAGCCCTTGTCCCCGCGCACTATAAGCCCCACCGCCGCCGCTCAGCCAGAGGGCGGAACCCGAGCTTGGAGGGCTACGGGCTTAGCCGGATTGCTCAAGTAGGACCGGAAGTCGGTCCACCACTGTTTTGGTCCGCGGCGCGCAGGGCAGGGATGGTTCCGGCGGTCTTGGTCTGCACTACCAGCTAGGCGCGGAGGTACCCCGAAGCGGCGCCGTCCCTGAGCCGGACCGTGAGCGCTGCGCGGGGTCAGGGCCGGGCGGAGGTTGCCCCTTCCCCTCTCGCTGTTCCCTGGACCCGCTTCGCCCGTGTCGCTAACGGGGCGGGACAGCGAGGCGCCGGGCCCAGGGTGCGGCCTGTGCGGGGACCTATGGAGCCGCCTGCTAGATGGGGTCGTGATGCTCCGCTCCAGCCCCTCCCGAGTCTAGGGCGGCCTCTCCACGTGAGTACTCTTGACCTCTAAGCTGGTTCGTTCGAGGAGTAGCCCCGGTATAAAAACATTTCATTTCTGTGTCTGGAAAGAGTATTTAGTGTTAAGGTTACTCGGAGGATAATTAGGTGGGAGAACTGAAACACTGATGTTCTAATTGTCACAGTGTAATCGTCTGGCTGTGGAGATTGGAAGAAGTTAGGAGAAACTGCTCTCTTCAATTTAAAAAGTGTAATAACATTCTTTTTAAAAAAAATTAACATTTGAGGTTTTTGGTGAATTTACCAATTTAGTAAAATGATTTGGCCTTTAGTCACGCCTTAAACATCTGTAATAAAGTAATTTATTTATATCGTCCTCCACCCCATACTCCCCCCCCCAAAAAAAGGAAGAAAAAAGAAAAAGAACCCACTATCTCTCAGAAAATAAGAATACTTGGCCCTTTGCTTTGTCTGCCTATTAAATAATTTAGAATGTGACATGTGATGAAAAATTCTGTTCTTAGTTTTCCAGCGGCACAAAGCTCTGATGATCTGAATTTTTGTCTTTCAGCTTCCATGAAATGAAGGGGGGAGCTCCCTAGTTCAACCAACTGTTTAAGGAAGAGGACTGCTTTGTACAGGGACATCTTTATTACCTTCTAGTAACTGGATCAGAAGATGAACCCAACTAACCCTTTCAGCGGGCAGCAGCCTAGTCCTTTTTTAACATCTTCCAGTAGTTCCATAGGAACACCTCAGGCCAAGCAACCCTTTCGATTTGGTCAGCCTTCTCTTTTTGGACAAAACAGCACAGTATCTGGGAAAAGCTCAGGATTTTCACAGATATCTAGCTTCCCAACGTCTGGAGTAGGCCACTCTTCTTCAGCACAAACATTAGGATTCTCCCAAACCTCAAATGTTGGACTCTTTTCTGGACTTGAACCCACTCCATCCTTTCTATCTGCCTCTGGGCCTTCAAGTTCATGTGTGCCTGGAAACCCGGGCATTACTTTTAAATCACCCAACTTTGGGGCTTTCCCAAGTACTTCTACTTTTGCACCAGAAACTGGAGAAGTAGCAAGCTCTGGTTTTGGGAAAACAGAGTTCAGCTTTAAATCTCTGGAAAATTCAGTGTTCAGACCAATACTGGGGGCTGAATCCGAGCCAGAGAAAACTCAAAGCCAAATTACTTCCGGATTTTTCACATTTTCCCAACCAATTAGTAGTGGACCTGGAGGACAGGCTCCATTTTCTTTTACACAGGCGACAAGTTCAGCTACTAAATCAAATTTTACCTTTTCGAAACCAGTTGATAGTAGTAATTCGTCATCACCCTTTACCCTTCCTTTGTCAAGTCAAAATGTGGAGGAAGAGAAGAAAGGCCCTAAATCACTATTTGGAAGTCTTCATAGTAGCTTCACTAGCTTCCCCACGTCTTCTTCAGGATCATTGGGGGAACCCTTCCCAGTTAGCAAAACAGGGGCCAGACAAGGATGTGAAGAAACTGTTTCCCAAGTGGAGCCACTTTCCAGCTTCATGAAAGGACTGAAAAGGAAGGAGGATCAGGATCGCTCCCCAAGGAGATATGGCCACGACACAGTGGAAGACCTGGACCTTCTGTCGAGGGGTGATCACCCTCCCGATAAGCGGCCGGTCCGCCTGAATCGGCCCCGGGGAGGTACTCTGTTTGGTCGGACTATACAGGATGTTTTCAAAAGCAATAAAGAAGTCAGTCGTCTGGGCAACAAGGAATCCAGAAAGGAAATTGGCTGTGCCGAGTCTGGGGAAAATGATCACGTGGCCATACCAGGAGGGAGTCAGTCTGTTCTGGCAGCTTCCCGGCTTCCAGGTGTGAAAGAGGAAGAAACTGAAAGTAGAGATAAAAAAGAAGGTGAGCTCTAAAAATGTACAACATGCAGTAAACCTTGCTGTATGGCAAGTTCTTGGTAAACTTTCCTGGGTGTTAGCTTGATTTTTTTGGTTAAGTCCCCTGTATACATTAGGGACATTAATACCATAGGATCTTGGAGCAGGTCTCACACACATGGATATTTCCTTTGCCCTGACATAGTTGGTGCCTCCTGTTTGGAAACATTGCATCTACTACAGTTCTGAGCCCATTTTCTGATCCCCTAGATTTTCTAAGAGGAACTCCTGGGCGTCAGAATAAAAGAAGTGAGAGCACAGACAGTCTTGGGGGCTTCTCTCCCTCGGAAGTCACAGCGATCCAGTGCAAGAACATTCCCGACTTTCTCAACAACAGGACCTTTCTGGAGAATCACTTTGGCAAAATCGCTAAAGTGCAGCGCACTTACTCCAGGCGCAACAAGCACCTCGCGGTGGTGTATTTCTTCGATCATGTAAGTACTCCCAACGGAGTGTGTGTGAGTGAAAAAGTAGTTTTAAAGGAATAAAGTAGGAATGAACTTTGTCACTTCAAAACCTTTTTTTATGTTATTTTTTTTACTATATATTTTACTGATTTTTTACAGAGAGGAAGGGAGAGGGATAGAGAGTTAGAAACATCGATGAGAGAGAAACATCAATCAGCTGCCTCATGCACAACCCCTACTGGGGATGTGCCCGCAACCAAGGTACATGCCCTTGACCGGAATCGAACCTGGCAGCCTTGAGTCCGCAGGCCGGTGCTCTATCCATTGAGCCAAACCGGTTAGGGCCAAAACCTTTTTTAAAAAAATCAATTATTTGCTTGCTAGAATGTAGGAAAGTACTAGGATATTTTGTTCTTACCTTGCAGAGGCTAGAATAGCACTTTTCTTCATAATTGGAGTCATTAGTGAAAAGCGTGTAGCCCCTACTGAATGCTGTGGTGTGTCCCATGAAGTCAGATTCTTCTGAAACACACTGAATTGGCTCCATAACCACACAGCACCTTTCCAAACTTGAGTTCTGTTTTGTTTTTGATTTATTTGGTCATAGTACACGATTGCTATAGATACTCAAACAATACAAAAAAAGTGAAATCCCCTTATAAACACATTCCCCAGAGATATGTTTGGTTTATACCCTAATTTTAAATACATCGTCGGGCAGAAGTAGGTTTATAGTTATTGGTATGGAAAATAACACAATAATTAATAAATAATAATATGAGAATAAACTGTTTCACATACAACTGTAAACCCACTTACTAGTATTCCCCATCCTGTATGTATATAAGTACACCTGTGCATAACAGCTGTAGCTCACATTATGTAGATTTATATCTTTATTTTAAAAAATATTCTTGTGGGGGTGGGGGGAGTAAGTTCTATAGGAATTTATAAGGTAGAAAGCATGTTTTCATACTTTGGTTAACTAGAAGTATTGCCTGTCAGTATACTATGGGAGAAGCACCAAATCACCCATAATCTCTCCTGCAGGATATTGACTGAATATTCTGGATAGTGTCTTTGCAAATAAAGGGTCACATTGTTTTTGCACAAATGGAACCGTGCTGTAAATACTGTTGGTAATCTCTTCATGTGACAATCTTTAGTATTTTCTGAAATCCATTAGCTGCCTAGATTAGAATTGGATTGTTAAATGCTACCTGGCATCCTATACTGTTTACTTTCTTGGTCAGCATTCTACTTGTGGACAGTTTCGTGCATATATTTTTGTTAGTTTATATCCTTTGTTTAAATTTCTGAAAGTGGAAGTTTTGTGTAAATATGTGCATAGTTTTAGGGTTTTTGCTATTTATTCTTTCCTATTGACGTTTTTTTCAAGTCAGTGGCATTAATTACATTCACAGTGTTGTGCATTCAACACCACTGTCTATTTCCAGAACTTTTGCATCATCCCAAATAGAAACTCAATAACTATTAAGTGATAACTCCCCATTGCCTCCATCCCCAGCCTCTGGTGACCTCTAATGTACTTTTTATCTCTGTGAATTT